TATTCAATAAATGGAAAAATTGGAAATCTCAAAATATAAACTATGATTCAATTAGCATGTGTTGTTTTAGATACCAATTCATTTGCTTATAAAGATAAGTATTATCGACAAATTAAAGCGTATGATGCCTTATTTGAATTTCCGGTAGATTGTATCATTTTCTGTTGATGGATATCGAGGAGGTATAAGAGATATTGGAGATATTGATTAATTGGTACAGATGATCATTCGATAGTATTTGAATTTAAACATCTATTCATCAAATATATTGATATCACTTGCCAACCCTTGCTCGAAAAACTCAATTCCTATACCTCCTATATCTTGATAAACAGGAAACTATAGGAATGTCCGGAAATTCAAATAAGGCATATAATCCATTAAAGGTGGTGCTATGGATTCACTATTTACTATGGTTTTAGCAAATATTTATACGTTAGAATAGGAGCAAAAATTAATTCACCACTAAAATAGACATCATGAAATTTATGGACGGTTAATTTTGCATTTATTAGTTACTTTTTTTTTTACTCTAATAATCATAAATATTTATAGATATATTGACGACGTATTTATGACAACTAATTTATCCAAAGAAGATATTCTGAAAGAACTTGATGAAACCATTAAAACATATTCAAATGTTAAAATTACTACTACTATCAGTCAATCATTAGAATATCTTGATGTTACTATTGAAAATAATAATGGACATTTAAAAATATCTATTTATCATAAATCAGCTTCAGAATCCTATATTCTACCTTATGAATCTGATCATCCAAGACACATTCATGCTGCATTAGCGCAAGCTGCACGTAGCTGTTCCAATATGGAAGATTTTGATATGGAACGATTAAGTACGGAAATGAAATGACTATATAGTTAAAGGTTATCCACCAAAATTTATACAACACCATATAAAAACAGCTTGTCAGCGCAGCTCCTGCGGAGCTGAAATGTGGAACTCACGTATAGCTTTAGCTTTGTTACCTGACGCATCATCTGTATACTGAAAGACTTCTCGTCAACTATAGTTGTTTTCCTTGAGAATCGATGAAAAGAGCGGGAATTTATTATTTATTTGTATATTAAAAATATATATTAAAAAAAGAAAATATTGTTTTTTCATTTAAGCGCGCTCGATTTCATTTATAATTATTGCTATATACTCGATAATAATCTTTTTTTTTGTTTTCTAATTTGAAGTTATTTTTCTCCACCATCGAGTATTTGATGAATACGGTTGTTGCAGTCTATTTTGAGGGGGAGGGGGTATATGTATGTAATGTTCTTTTTTGCTTGCTATAGTCTGTAAAGGGGG